GGTGAGCAGTAAGGCTAGGGCAACCCCCCAGCCTCTCCCTCGTGCTTGCTGGGACTTGCTGAGTCCCGCTTCTAACAGAAAGACGCAGCAGCTGGGGATGCGAATTATTGCTGGCATCTGCCTCGTTGGGTGCACAGCTCCTGGGGGGTGCATGGATGCCTCTCTCCTGCAGGAGGATCCATGTTGAGGGGAGGCATAATAAGAGTGACAGAGCTTCAGATTTCACAAGGCCCCAGAAAATCCAGCAGTGAGAAAGCTGTTGGTTGGAAACCATGCCCTGTTAGTTCTGCTACTCACTGAAACAGGGGCCAGCTTGCTTGGGGCTTGCCTGGTTTTTACAGATGGTTTAATTGATGAGGATGCGGTTCCGACCAACACAAAACTTTTATGGGTTTGGGCTGCATTTATTTGAAATTAATATAAGAGAAGTGTGTTTTCCATCCAAAGCGTTGACATGATTTCTTCTGACACTTCCAAAGTAGAATATGTTCCTTTTTTCAGGCTAAAGTCACACAGAGGTGGCATTGATTGCAGCACCAGAATGGAAGTGGGAGTTCCTGCGCTGGGCTGCACTGCCTGTGCAATTACTCCTGGACTCTCTGCCTTTCTGGTCCGGTTTTAACAGGATGTCTCTGTCTTGGGGTTTCCTATAACCAGGGAGTCAGGCCCTCCTCCAGGAGGAAGGAGGTGATGGTTTAAATCCATGCAGTGAAGTAGAAGACTAGATCTTCCATATTTCAGGGGAGCATGCAAGCCATGGAACTGTTGGTTGAAAGTATGAGCACTGCTGCTTCTGCTGTTTCACAATGAACTCCCTTTGAAACTTGCCTTTTGCTGTCTAAAATGCCTGAAAATGCAATTAACTTCCCATTTTGCCAGTAACTTGAAAACAAGGTAGTTGTTTTTTCATTATCTGCATAGGAACTTTATTTTCCTTTTACACTTTTGATATGTCCACCAAGCCACAAATGCTATAATGACCACCCAAGAGACATTTCTACTAGTTGCAGTTTATCTGCAGTGTTGCACAGGGGCCAGAAGGTAAAGCATGCTTCTTCCAGAGTAAGTTTGCTCTGAAGACCTTAGGCCAGCGGTTTCCATCTGGATGCTTTACTCTGCTCAAGATAGCCAGGGCAGCCAGAGGGCTGGTTTAGGAGGCAACAGAGGAAGAGATCCTTTTTGTGCAAGATCATGCTAATTTATATGCTACTACTCTATGGCCAGAAGGGATAACTACAAGTTTAGCGCATCTCTGAGTGCCTGCTTCAAATGTGGTTTCCTTGCTTTGTTTTGTGAAATTGTTGTCGAGTTCATCACAGGATGCCAGTTCAAGGACTAGGGGAATTGTTGTTGGTCACTCAGAAGGCTCTGATGGGAGTTTGCTCTCAGGCAAGGTGTGTAACACTGAGAATATAGACAGTGTTTACAATACCTAAGGACAGTCAACCTATTCCAATCTCTTCTTGGAGCATTTCTCCTGTCCCATCCAACTTACCTTCTATCATTTCAGCTGTCTGACATGTCCTCTTGTTCCTATGATCAACTCCTGTCTGACACCTGTTGCTGTTAAATATTTGCCGTGTTCCTCTTCTGAAGGTTGGGTGGCTGCAATGTCAGCAGGAAAAATTGCAAGTGTATGTGTACCATTTGGCAAACAACAAGCTTTGAGAAAGATTGCAACGGTTTGGAGCTGTGCCCTGGTACAACCACCTACTTTATTCAGGCCATAAGTGCGAATTGATCCCATTATCCAAAGTTACAAGAAGTACAGGTAAGTTCCTGGAGAAGCCTTTTTGAACACAAACAAGGGAGGTTCAGTGAAATTCAAAACTAATACGTGGGAATGATGTTTTTTCCAACACCAGTTAGATTGTGAAACTTGTTGCTGGGGGACTGGTTGAGGCCAAGAACTTTAAGATGCAAAAAGGAACTGGGCGTTTAGGCAGTTATCAAGAGTATCAGTTACTATAATTCATAACAAATTTGGAAGGAATATACAATCCATTTCACTGTCCTTAAGCAGTTCTGGAACTGATAGAGACTAGCTGCATTTTTCCACATCAGGATGCTGCAGAGATCCTTGTGCTCTCTCTTGAACTTCTGATTTTGGCCATAAAAGAGATTACTGACTTGGCTGGACTGCTTGTCTGGTTTGATTCTTGCACGTTTCACCACAGGCTTAAAGTAACAAGCCAGGGATCTGCTGCCAGCAAACTCTCTCAAGATCTCAGCTTCAGGCTGTAATGCTGACTGTGTGCAACAGGGTGCCTAATTAGCCTGGTAATGATTTGGCTTTGTCAGTACTCACAAAGTGCAAGGCACAGAAAAGCAAAGCCATTTTCTATCCAAGATGCTCACAGCTGCAGGACACCCTGATAAGCTGTGGAAGCTTGTGCAGAAGAGAGTCAAGCCTGACAAATGGCCAGGTCAGCATGTTTCAGGGGTCTTGGTCCAACGAGGGTGCCTTGTCCTCGGGAAGGCAGTCTG